CATTTTGTCCCTGAATCTTCACCTTGAAAATGTGATGATATGATAAATAAAACAATTTCACGTCACAGATGGAACATTATCTTGTGAACCAAATAACTTCTTAGTTATTGAGACAAAATAACACTTGTACTTTAGAAGGTAAAATCATAAATAAAACTCCAACATGTAAAATATTACAGTAGTAGGCCTATTGTTTTGAAAATTTCATACTTAAGTCATTTGCCCTCATACTTAGTTTTTAAACCATCAAAGTGTTGTACCATTTTGTTAAGAGTTAAAAGCACCACAACATAATAAATTTAATTAAAAAACTTTCAAGCCTTTTTGTGAAAAAAAAACACCCTGACAATAGATTAGTAGGCCTACCACATATAAAATTTCACCAAAATTGTACCACATGTGTAGCTCTGCACACATCCAAACACACACACAGACATCACTTGGAAAACCACTTTTGGCTCAGGGGGACCCAAAACGCGTATTTCCACCCAAAACTTAGACGTTTCTATTTTTATACTCTGTATAGGGTAGAAAGTAGAAATCAACACTTCATTGGTTGTATTTACCTGTGCTATGCCAGTGACTGAGATCGGAACGCCTTGACTTGTGTACACTGTCGGAGAGTCCACCTGTAGCGTCATGGTGTTGAGGGAAATTCTGGAAACAATTAAATTAAGTTTTTGTCTGGAAAAAAGCTGCTACGTTCAACCGAGGAATAAAAATTTAGTGCAATTTTGTAAACAAATAGGTATACTTTTATAAAGTACCTGGGGCATGCTCAATAATCAATCTTATGCCCCGTTTCCTTTAAACATTTTATCCCAACAATGTTGGGAGCTAAGCTCAAGTTGATTTGAGCACAGCTCCCAACAATGTTGGCGTGCCGTTTCCATTCCAAGCAGTTCACGCAGCATCAGCCAACCCCTTTTCACTGTGAGCACCGTCTTTTGCCCTCTACACTATATCTACATCAGTGCATCATGAAGAGTTGTTGTAATAGCTGGTGCATATCACCAATTTATTAATTGAAAAATTAGAAAGTGGCGATGATGGTTTAAAAGCTTTTTTACTAAAAGGCCGTTGAAGGTGCCTGACAACACCCTTATGAGGTATTTATGGCAGGCTAACAAATTTGAGTTTTGCCGAAATTTTACTGGGCCGAAGTGTTAACACCGCTCACCAAACCCAAAATTTTAAGACTGCTATAGGATTAAGGCCATTTTCAAAGTAGATACACTTAAAAACCCTAAATGCAACCAACGGGTTTTAAGATTACCGAATCGGCCTACCAGTTGGCACTTCTAGTACACAAAGTTCCCTTCTGTTTAATTTCAGATGGTAAAAAGGAGGTTCAACTCAGCTGAACTTTAATTCTCTTTACTCTGTTCTTATTTCTCATTAACAATGTGTAAGTTTAGGTACATCAAAGCAAGATTTTGACTCATTAAAAAATTAATGTCAGCTTTCTTTTTGCCTAATACAAGATATAGGCTAGAATAAATAATTCCTTACCTTTGAACACATTGTATGGTAGGCCATACAAAGGCTCGTCCTCCTGGCACCAGCAAAGGCTTGTTGTAGCAGCATCCTAGAAAAAATGTTAGGTTAAATTTGTAAGGTGCTCCAGCATCCTTTTGGTTTGGGAAGGGGGGGGGAGGGTTGTAACATTTTAATATTATATTTGTGAAAAATGTACCTAGCTACAATTCAATAGTTAAGTTGATAGGGTAATTTTTAACATTTCCGCAAATGAGGCTTTAGGCCTATGGCATGGATTTGTTTTTGTTTTTCCCCACTGGAAGCGTCCCTGTGCCGTGGTAGTAAAAAATATTGGCCCTTTTCATTCCTCCTCAAAGTACTCTGTCAGTGAGTAGTATGGCCTCACCTGAGTGAGTAGTTTGCTCTTTTTCTACCAAACACTTTTTGGTTTGCTTTGATTTGGCCAGTGGATATATAGGCCTACATTAGATGAAGAGAGAAATAAGTTAAATAATAGCCTAGAGAGAGTTTTTTTACAGAAATGACACAAAAGGGTGCATATTTTAAGGCAAAGATGAGCGATGAGTGTATGATAAATTAGATGACAGCTTTGTTAAGTTACTGGCGAAGATCAGCTAGTACCTAACTAGCAAGGATTATTTATCAAAAGCCAAATGATGAAGGTCCAGTTTCGAACCATTAATAAGACACTGAATTAACTTATTAAATATTATATCATAGACGCTGTCTCAGGATTGAACCGGCAATCTAACTTACTTATTAACTTACTAAACAATCGAATAAGTTAGGCCTATATTTTACTCAGCTAACCAGATAGCCTATTTTGATTAAGTTAATAATATGTTCCCGCAATATGAATTAGGGCTAGACCTATCCTTCATTCAAACTTAAAAAAAATATGATACGGTTCTCTCATTTTTTCTAGTGGACTAAGTAAGCCTAAACTTAACTTAGTAGGCCTAACTTAATCTATAAATATTGCTGGGCCACTCAGTTGCAGTTCCATAACTGAGCTGAAGCATAAATAAAACACACGTTAGTCTATCCTTTGGCATGGCTGAAGATATTCAATTTCGAAATGTGAGTTCTTGAAATCTTTAACCAAGAGTTTGAATAAAAAGTATATTGTAAGCTTAACATACTTTTCTTGAATCCAGTAATATTAAGAAATATAAACAAACCACTCCCCCCAACAAAATGACAGTAAACTTACCAGAGACGACAAGAGCTTCATTAGGACCACAAGTAACAAATCCCCACGTCATTTTCGGGCTATAAACTTATAGATCTAATATCAATGAACTGTTGAGAGTCTTAACGCCAATCAATAATCAATCAACAAAATGAATAAATATTTTACAACATAAATTCATTATTTCGAGCAATTTTCCTTATTACACCGACATGGACAGAGTTTTGGTAGCTTTCAAGATGACAGACAGACGCCAATGCAGGTTAGACACAACACAACACATGCGCAAGTTTTCAGTCAAAATTCTGATGCACAATTAAAGTAGCACGTTTTTGTATACATGTATGATATGATATACTATTGATTATTTGTATTTAAGTGTGCTGGTGGGGTAATACTTCATTTCACAAAAACTAAACTCAGTGGTTCAATTCGTGGTCAGTTTAATTGTCAAAGTTCTTGTCTTAAAATCTAGAGGCTACTGGTCCGATCCTGAGCAAAATTGATCCTGGATCCAAATACACATTGGGCTTCCAGTTTTATTATTTTGATTTTGTATTTCCAACGGCAAAGCCAATTTTTAAAGTATTCACAAAAGTATTTTTAGTCTAGGGATGGACGATCCATAACAGCAAGTTTTCGTCACAGCACTATCCCCTCAGCCCCACCCACTCAACAATCTTCCACTCAGCTCTTGTCACACGATATAATCACGGCCGCCTGTAAGGTGTAAAAGTGTAAGGTGTACCTATTATCATGGATATAATAGGTAGGTATGAGGATGCGGAATACTACCCCCTCCCCCGGGAACCCCACCCCCCAAAGGGGAAACGTGACGTGTCATGAAATCTGCCAACTAACCAATATCACAACCAATATCAATTCCAATTCCAGCCAATTCCGAGGCTGGAATAACCCCCCCCTTAGCAAAAAGTGATGCTATGTAATTTTAATTTGAGTAATTCCGTTTGATAACAAAAAGGCACGTGGGGAATATCATATATAATTTTAAATGTTACAGCAAGTTTGGTTTGGTTGGTTACCTACTTAGGTTAGATTAGTTTTGAACAGTGTGATTGTATGACAACGAAACTTGAGTGTTCGTGACTGGAAAACTGCCCCCCCCCCCGATCTCTGATGTCAACATGCATGACGTAGGAACCTGCTTGGGGGGAGTCTTCCGGTGGCCCATATAGGTACCGGTATTCTATAACTGTCCATACATGTTTATGTATAGTTCACACTTGCTCCCATCAAAATTATCTACTCTATGCAATCAAACATCCACCATTAATTTTCAATCCAATTACCATAGGTACATCATCTTTTCATTATTCATTCTAAAAAAAATTAATCCAAACTAATGTTTTGTTTAATCTCCGTTTAAATAATCAAATTCAATTATTATAAGGTCATCAAACATCAGAGGCAGAGGGGCAAAAACCCCTTGGCCTGACTTGAAACTTGAGCTAGGGTCGAAAAGAGTCTTTTTACGCCTAGGGGGAAAGGGATGAAATGAGGGATAATATATAACATTAGGAAGATCCTACATCCCACCTTAAGATTGATATATTATATTGAGAAACACAAAATGTTATTACAAAATAAGTGCAGGAGTGTTAAAAATTCAATCCATAGGGACTTGGTGGCTCATTGGAGAAATGTGAAACCAAGACAGTGATGTCTTTCTAATTGATTGGAGAAATGTGAAACCAAGACAGTGATGTCTTTCTAATACCAATACCCGTCCCAGTGTCCTGTCCCTTGAAATTTATCCAGTACAGTACAGTTCATTTCTACACTGTTATGCCGGTTTGCATCAATATGGCCTGGGCCTATAATTCCCCACGTTAATAAATTTTTTGTTGATTGTGCAGAGAAAACATAAAATTAACTCACTTACATGACCAAGGAGTGTGTAAAATGAAACATTCTGGTACCTATATTTTAACCATATTTCTGGGGAGGCCCCTTTGTCACTCTCTTTGCTGGGGGCTAGTACGCAAGTAACTCTGACCCCCCTAATGTAAAAGTAGATGAACGCTCATGCATACTCGCTTCTTCGTAAGCTTAATAGTTTCCCACACATACCTTAATCAAGGCCTATATGGTAGGAGAAATGCAGGGTTAAAAGGTTTCTAATCCCTAAAACAATATATTAAATGAAGAGAGACTTAACTTAAGACCATTCGTTCCTAAAAAATTCCTAGCTTAGTGGCTTATACTCGTGGTATAGGCTTACAGATATTTTGTAATTAGTACTGTACATTGTTAGTTACAAATGGAGGGGGGATAGAAAAACAACATATTATAAAATAAAATGTGTATATACACTCAACAATAAAATATATAACAAATAATACTATCAAGTTGTGTACATAATATTAATGAGGATTGTCAAAGGACTGATCCATGATGACAGCCATGTCTGGGGCTAGACCCACCACTTGTAGTGTTCTGAATGACAGCCGAATCAACAACATTCTCACATTGTCCCACCTGTAAAAGTAGCAATTGTTAAATACAATTCATATATTTTTCTGTCATACAGCCACAAAAAAAGCCATTTTGTATACAGTGTTGCGGGTGTACAGTAGCTTTTTTCCTCCCAAAAGAGTAAAAAGCCTTTTTAGTCCCTAGGGCGTAAACGTCAGCTGTTGTAAACTCTTGTAAGCGATCACATGTATTGAAATTAGGTTAGGTTAGGTAGTGTTCTGAATGACAGCCGAATCAACAACATTCTCACATTGTCCCACCTGTAAAAGTAGCAATTGTTAAATACAATTCATATATTTTTCTGTCATACAGCCACAAAAAAAGCCATTTTGTATACAGCGTTGCGGGTGTACAGTAGCTTTTTTCCTCCCAAAAGAGTAAAAAGCCTTTTTAGTCCCTAGGGCGTAAACGTCAGCTGTTGTAAACTCTTGTAAGCGATCACATGTATTGAAATTAGGTATTGATTTATAGGTTGTATCTTAGTGATCCATTCTTTTTAATGGTTTGACATAATGATATTATAATGTACACTAAAACAACTGTAATAGACAAAATCATTGAATTACTTACTAAACCGCTGTTTGTTTGCATTGGAAAAATTGAAAGCAAGTTGAAAGTCGTTATGAGAGGTTATCTGTACAAAAAAGGATTTTTTTCTAACTTAATTTGTTCAATCATGTAATATGACAAAAAAATATAGTTCATCAGAGGGGCAAAAAACCCTTGGCTTGAAACTTGAGCTAGGGTCGTAAAGAGTCACTTTGCGCCTCAGGGGAAAGGGATGAAATGAGGGATAATTTATTACATTACAAGGATCCTACATCCAACCTTAAGATTGATTTGAGGTTAAGGATGTAACAGAAAGCACAAGAACCTAATTATTAGGATTTTTTGTGAGGTTAGCAGGCATACTTGAACTTGTACACAAAACTTTACACTATACACAAAACATAAGAATATTTTTCACTGTCACTGACAGCAATATCAACAAAGTAAGAGTAAGGTAAGAAATTAAGAGAAAAGGCATACAATATTTTATGTATGGTGCAAAGTGGAGCCTTTTGTAATGGCTCTAGGTCTAGCCTGAAGTAATGTGAAAACAGTTTCGACCGGGTGTCCTAGGATAGGGAAAAAACCAGTCGCCATCACATACCACAGTCTGATCTCAAAGTGCAGTCGCCCCAGCAGTCCACGTAAGTGTCCGCTCAGACCGGAGGTCTCTGACACAAACGCACCCTGAGTCGCGCTTCTTGCCATCACAGTGTAACGATCGACAGGGTCCCCGTGACCTCTTGCAATGCTACGAATCGTGTTGATGTTCCTGCAAGAAAATCATTGTTTAACAGCTTAAAAATGTTAGTTGAATGGTAATATTGAAAAAAAAAAAAACAGTAGGCCTGGATATTAATGGTGCCAGTATTTATTTAGCACCTTGGTTCATTATTATGGAGTTAATGAGCAAATAAATGGTTGAACTGAAAAGCTTAGAAAACTTAAAATCATTAATTTTGTATCTTATACCTATTTTGGATTCTATTCTGTGACATAGATTAACACAGTCATTGTTAAAGGAGACTAATAATTTATTATAAGGAAGTTCATAGAGTGAATTTTTCAGCAAAATAGCCTAGTAATAAAATTTAATAGGTTATTTCCTATATAGGAAATTTGATAAAAAATAAAATTCCTAATCAGATTACTGTTAGTAACTTTTAGCAAGTTCTGCACACAACTCATTGAAATTGAGATTGTCCAATTAATTTTAGACCAAAGCTCAATTTAGCTCTTGAGTTTCAAAGCATGTAAAGGTTATAACTAGGCCTAAGTGCTTTGGGCTTATTTCAGCAGTTTAAAAACTTTTATGCAGCATTCACAATGTGTTATATCTACAAACTAATATGTTAGCTAAATAACTAGAGCCAGCCTTATTCTACACACCCTATACTTTTCACTTTTCAGCAATATATTTAAAATTCTGTCTGACCCTTTTATTCAAATCAAATCAAAATATTCTTTAATTGTAGTTTCATTAAGAAAATACAATGGTGTCCATATTCTATAACAGTTAGACATGTTCAAAGTAAATAAGAAAGCAGGGTGGGGAAAAACACTGAAAAGCTGGAAAAACCTCTAAAAATGGCTCCAACACCACAATTTCTGCAACAGACAGGATTTTCAAAAGTAGTAAATTGTCTTGTATATTTTATTACTTTTTAAGACTAGGCTAATTATTAAATGTAAAATTCAAATAATCTATTCAATCAACAAACATATTTTTAAAATTCACTAATCATTGATGTCTGCATTCTCTCTGATTGTATGAACAAAAAATTTTGTCTGTTTTTTTTTTTTTAATAATTCAATGATTTCCCATAATTTACTGAACTTTTCTTTAAGACAAATTTTAGAAGTGAAAAAACCACAACCTCAAGGCTAATTGAATTCTAAAAACCCACCACCATTAACTACATTTATTTGGAATTGTACAAAATTGAATTATAACAAAACCCACCGAATAACCAGGATCACTTTGTTCGGCATCGCTCTCAAAACGTTGAGTACCATATCAAAATGGTGTTTAGCGCCCGCAGCTAAAATTTCAAGTTCTTTTTGGGACAATTGAGTTCCAAGTCGCCAATTGTTAAAACGCAATGGAGTTTGTGTTACCATCTCAGCAAGCATGAGGTAGTCTGTGAACAAATTAACCCGTTATTCTTGAGTTGGATGGTGAAAACCATTTGGGTAAAATATTTCTTTCAGGATCTTCAATGTCCACCTACTTTGGATCTTACATTTTGCTCTGACAAAAATATTTTTTATTTGCACAAATCTTTCGTCACTTGCAAGACGAAGAAGTGTAAGTACATATCAGATTATAACTTGCGCCCCTTCGTCCTACAAGCGTCGCTTTGTTTATTTTTTCTTTTACTGTAACGCAACAGCAAAGCAATAAAAAGGGTATAAAAATCTAAAATGTACTAATAACAAAGTCCCATGCTAAATACCTTAAGCCAAGAACAACACACACTAAACAAAACTAAAGGTACCTAGTGACCAGCATAAGCTTGCTCGGAATAGCTTTGAAAATCTCAATTGATCGATCATGGATGGCCATTATCTCAATTCTCAGACGTTCCTTCTCTTCTTCCGGTAAACCCCTGAACACTTTGGCTGTAAGACGAATGCCCTTCGGTGAGAAGAACAAGTCCAAAATGTCCTCCCCCTTTTCGTTCTTGTCTCTGGCCACAAAACGCTGCACCAACGCCGTACAAAACAACCGGTAATTGTCATCTGCAACCATTACTGACAGCTGTAATAACTTTTCAATTTTTGAACTTTAAATTTGTGGCCTTCTTCTGGCAATACACATTAGGTTAACCAGTCTTAAATCCTTAGGAATAGCAGTATAATGTATCAAATTTAATACAATTTATAGAAATTAGGTAAATTGAGCAGTTAATTTTACAGCAATTAAAAATAAAATTTGGTTATATGGATAATGTGTATTGCACTAAAAACCTAATGCAACTAAGCTATGAAAAAAGGCACCTAAAACATAACCGGTACTTCATAAATTTTGTCTTAGTATTTCATAAAGATTTCTATAGGAGACTCGACATCAATCAAACAAAAACATCAAGTTAAGTTTCACACAGAGATAAACATATAAGTAGCAATATGTTTGGGCTTGAGTTTTACGATTTACCAGAACCCCTATCCAACAGTGTGCTTGTTCAGTCCAGCTTGTACGCTTTTCTCTATGTAGTTTTTCACAAATGTCCAATATAATTTAAATTAAATCTAAAAGAGTTCTATCATTTTACAAGGACGGCAAAATTACGTTGTCTATTTTAAGCTGGAAATTACTGTAAGATGAATGTAGAATGGAGTAAGATGCCTTGGCTAGCTTTGTGGATAACCTATACCAACAGGTTTTTTTAATACAAGATACTTTTTTAAATGCCCAATGATCAAGGACAGTTGGGCTCCTACATGGCAGTATTTAATGACATGTCCAAGAGATAACATTAAAAAATATGGTCTGTATGATGAAACCTGTCTTCTGACCCTGCATCTACCTATGGACTGGCCAATGGTTTAAGGCCTGGTCTGGTCCAGGTTCCATCATACAGACTATAATAATTCAACATGTCGTGTTACCATCAACGCCAAGTTCTTTAGAGTGTTTTCGCATGCCGGAATGATCGTTGAGTATGATGGATTTCCACAGGTTACAGAGTGAATGCCTAATTGTCGAAGGTACAACTTCGTACAGTCCATGGTCCAGTAACACCAACTGTGCACGTCCGTCTGTCCCTTTCCTCACCAGCACTACCAACACAAAAACAGATATGAACAACTACAGCCAATGACTGAGGATACTAAAGTTGACTTACTACTATATGAACCAACTGTTGCTAGTTTATTACTAATCAAAATAAAATATAATAGTTAGTTGAATGAGTCTCTTATAGTCTTCATTTTACTATTATTCCTCTAGGTTTTAGCCCAGAATTGTTTTTCACATTACTTCAGGCTAGGTTTAGAGAGGGTTGCGGCATTATCACTTAGCTAAAATCCAATCGTGTTTGGTGGAATTTGAACCCAAGGACGTTGGGGACCCACACTCTACTATTAGATCAGCTCACTCCCCTTATAAAATGAGACTGTTGAGTATCTATGATCCTATGATCCCCATGTTGAAATCTTAAAGAATTTATAATAAAAGACAATGATTACCATTGCCAGGATGAGGGTCTGCGTGGACAAAACCTGTATGAAAGATTTGCTCGGAGAACGCTTTGAACATTTTGTAGTCGATGTCAGCCAATGAAAGCCCCTCCTTGGTCAAAGCTTCTTTCTCGTTTATCTTGATGCCATCGATAAACTCCGTAGTCAGTACCCTCTGAAATTGTCAGTAAGGAAATAAGATTTTTACATGTTTCTGTCCAAAAATAGGTCAACTAAAGATGGCCAGGTCTCAAAAGATTAGGAAATTTTCCAGAAAAATGTATGTTACAGAGATGTTTATGACTGTACGCTATATACAAATGGTGGGTGATGATGATGATACCCTGCGATTTCAGGGGATAATATATGATGGTACCGTAATCATGATCAATAATAAGAATAAGAATCTTTATAACCATAATAATAATGACATTTCTATTCTAAAAAGTTGACTTAACTAATTACGTTTTATTCAAGTAATCAAGTAATTTATTGGTCATTAAATAATCATTGATTACAATAGTCAATAGACCTCGTCAGAGACACACATATAATAGTGTCTTGATAAGAATAATATCACAACAAAGAAGTTGGCCCCCGAAGCGGGGCATTTTTCATACCGATTCCGACCAATTTCTTCGAACCACCTCCCACCACCACGGTAGTTAAGATGCCAAATTTGACTTTGAGATGGTTTTTAACTAAAATATTGTTCACTCCCCCTTTCTCCAAAGATTGTAACTTTATTGCTCTACTAATTAAACTGAAGTTAGTTTTACAGTGCCTTAGCTAATTTCAATCATTAGAGCACTAACCCACAAATAAACTATAACATCACATGACCTGTTTGTTATTCCCCATAAACAAACCCTCTGTGAAATAAATTGCTACAGCCAAGTTATAAATGGGTTTTAATGCAGAAAAAAATCCCCGACATCATCCTGTCCCCAGTAGCACTTTTTACTACAGCTTTTTAAAATAAAAAGGAGGCCTGGGGGCCGAGCCCCCAGCGAGCCAAAGGTAAGTGATCAAGATAACCTGCGATTGCAGGGGATAATATGATGTGTTCGTAATCATGATCAATAATAAAAATAAGAATCTTTATTACCCATTAAACATTTTACAGTGCAATATGGTTCGTCAATACATAATACATAATAAATTGCTAAGTTTCAGTAATTATGACATAAAACAGTGCAATTAAAACTAAAAATGTACATCCTTAGTCTTTGTTGCCATTATCCTACATTGTAGTTGTAGATAGCCTATACTTAGTTTAATATTGTATTGACAAGGTCTGACACATTTAATTGTAATGTGTTCTCAGACCAATAAATTCTTGTTTATCATGTTAACAAGTGTTTACAAACCGAAAAACACGGACCACATACCTTGCTGCTCAGATTCCAAAACACTTTTGGAACGTAGATGAACGGAAAACGATTCAACTCTTGTGCGCATCGTTCTCCGTTCTTTCCTTCGTGAAGGAAATCCAACTCCTGCTCCAAGGTATCCCTCAGTTCCTGTAATAATTGTTCCGTTGATTTTCATAGTAGTCATCATACCCATTTAAAAAAATTTTAATTCTTTTACTCAATGTCAGGCAGAAAGATAAGCCTACTGACACTTTATCATAAAGTACCTTAGGACAGAGCTTTGCTTGGCGAAAAGCATTAGTATAGTCTGAGAGTATTCTTTGATTAACGTCATTTATCCAAATATTGTTTTGCATTCTATTTAATATTCTTCTTTCTGGATCTAGGCTTCCATGGTCACTAACTGGGATAGACCGTGTCAAAAACGACATAACACTACTGTCCACTGACATTTCGGCCTTGATACAGATTGCGTTTTTAGTTTGCTTTGCGTGACTTGCTACAGTTGACAGTTGTCGTAACTGTTTGGTTGACTTCCTACGACTATTGTACAAAAGATAAGTCACCTCGACGATGGCACTGCATTGAGGGTGAAACGTCAGTGGACAGTATTGTTGCGTTGTTTTTTACAATTACCCCAAATCTATGACAAAATTGTACCTCCATTGTTTAAGTCTCAACGTTCATTATTAACTTACATCAACCAAGCAAGTCTCGGCATCACAATAGACAACAAATTAAACTGGAACAAACATACTGATCAACTCTGCAAAAAACTGGCATCAGCAATATTTGTAATAAGAAGAATAAGAAGTATAACCAACCAAAAAACAGCCCTCATAGCATACCATTCATTATTCACTTCACATCTACGCTACGGAATTGCAGCTTGGGGATCCACAGCTCAAAAAAATATGGAAAAACTTTTCACATTGCAAAAAAAAGCAATCAGAACAATAAAAAGATCAGAAGAATCAACCAATCACAAGCCCCTTTTCATCCAACTCAACATAATGACATTAATCTCACTCTATATCTGCGAAACCATAATCCTTACCATCCGATCCAATCCCAACCTAAGACAATCGCAGCACAACCACAACACCAGAAGTAAAACAAACATAGACATACCTCAACACAGACTTCAAAAAACAAACAACACACCCACATACTCTGGATCAATGTTCTACAATCAATTACCCCAACACCTAAAATCAAACACACCCAATTTTGAAAAAAAAATTAAAATTGTATCTAACTGCAAGGCCGTACGACTCAATAAAAGAATACATAGAGGAGCACGCATACACAAAACATAAAACATAAATACATAAATACAAGAAACCTGAATACAGAAAACCCTAAAAAAGGAAGAAAGTTGACGACTCCCCGATCAAACGATTGTGGCGAGGACACCGGAAGTAAGAAGTAAGTAAGTAAGTCTTACCAAAAGGACCCATTCAAAGTCAAACTTGGGATGTATCCAGCCTCCGAACTTGAGCAGTAACTGTACAGTGGCTATGTCTCCCGCAAATCTGTCTTGCAGGTCAATGTACTGAGCCTTGACAGCGACCACTGCTCCCTCATGGGTAGTGGCTCGAAACACCTGTCGACAATAAATTTGTCAATAGCAGCAACGTTTCGTAAACTAGGCACTCAATAGCCCAGTGATTTGGATTTCTCGGTGAACCCTTAAAGAACTTTGTAAGTTAGAATAAGAATTGTAGTTCCACCTACAACAGTAATGGTTATGATCTTGGTATTAAACTATCGACCTCCCTAATTTCAATAGCTAAAATATGCATTTTGTCTTTTGGACAAGTAGTACACCCAAATCACACTCTTTTGACCAAAAGTAGCTTAGCTAGTCAGTCTATAAGTAGTTATTTAGGGTATGTTTTCACTTTCATAATACATAATATTATCAACACAATAAATATACATTTTCAGTGATCAAACAAAATGTTTTTTGCGCAACTGGCAAAAAGGTGACACTATCAAATGAAAACTTAAATATCATAAAAAATATTAAAAAAAGGCGACAGATCTATTTCAAATCATGAGATACAGGTCAAGATAAAATTTAGGGCATTTACAGTGGATCATTATCATTTGAACAAAATCAAAATCATTAGCCTATCTATTGCGACAAAATTGAGATTTCTTCACAAATTCTTGGTTTCAAAATTTGTGTTGCTAGTTGAAATACCCCAGCTGCATCAAAGCTAAAAACAAAGCGAATTAACATTTGCCTGATTATTTTCTAAAATATCTCCCCAAAAATGTCAGATTTATTATCTACTAGCTGTACCCACGGGCTTTGCCCCGTTTAACTTCATAAGTATTCGCATGGCTCAATCACGTCCCGGTTGAAGTTCGTTCGCTACGCTCACTCGCCTTCAGGTTGGAAATCGTTCGCTGCGCTCACTTGTTTTCAGGTTAGCTCGTTCGCTACGCTTACTCGCCTCCAGGTTGATGTTCGTTCGCTACGCTCACTCACCTTTTGGTTGCAAATTAGCTGTTGTCATACATTTAAAAAAGTCATCCCTTTTATTGTTTATAATACAGTACTTTTATAAAGGTTTTTATGTTTTAATATTTAACATTGGAGAATTTAAACGTTGTTAAGTGCACAGGTGTGCTGCGATTGGGTTTTAATACATTTGGACTTATTTAAAAGTAAAATAGTTTTCTGTGCTGCAATCTGTAGAAACACTGTGGCACTATTTCAAATCATGACTAATGCTAATACAGAATGTTGTAGTTATTCAAACGTACAAAACAGTTGGTGAAAGTAAACATCTGCTTTTAAATTATATTTATTTGTAAACATTCTATATCAAAAAGTCTGACATTGGCCCACTTAAAACCCTCTGGGGCAGAGCCCTTTTGACGGATCTGCACCAAACTTCACTCGAACCATCCTTGAAAGATGCTTAATAATGTCTGAAAGTTTCATTACAATCTGTCGAGCGGTTTCGGAGTCCATAACGTATATACACATATATATTCATACATACATAGTTCCTCTTTTATAGATATAGATTTAAATAATGATTTAACAAGTACAAGTTTTTGGGGGGTGTTTTTTTTTGTGAAATGTTAATATTCATATAAAATAAATACATTTTCCAAATTAAAGCGAAATCTGTTCATCAAGAAGCAAACTACAACAATTGACTTACCCTCCATAAGAATAACGTGGGAATTTAAAATTTACATTAATAAAAGACAAAAGTATTGTGTCTGTTGTTGTGTTGTATCTTTTGTGGCAACTGCCAAACCATCAGGTTCATCCATTTATACAATTCGTCATACACTTAAAATTGAAAACACAAAACACACGTTCACAGGACACATTTAAGAAATTAATTTAATAAAGTGGTTTAAATACCTGCATAAAAGTTATCCAAAATGTTGCTCACGGCAACCGGTTTCAATCCACAATAGGGATCTTCATCAGGCCAATCAGGATGTCAAAACATTTTTTATCTTCTTGTGAAGGTCGTCAAAAGGTGTAAAAAACATGCACACATAGTCACAAACACGAAACACGGACATTTAACACTAAAGACACGGCCGAAATTATTGCGACAACTCATCCCCGGCGAAGGTATAGTCAAAATTTCGGCCGTGTCTTTAGTGTTAAATGTCCGTGTTTCATATTTGTGACTATGTGTGCATCTTTTTAACGCCTTTTGACGACCTTCACAAGAAGATAAAAAATGTTTTGAAATCCTGATTGGCCTGATGAAGATCCCTATTGTGGATTGAAACCGGTTGCCGTGAGCAACATTTTGGATAACTTTTATGCAGGTATTTAAACCATTTTATTGAAATATTGGTTATCCGGAGGCTAAATCACAATGAAATTAATTTACATTAATTAGATCAACGTCGCCATGCGTGCATTTGGTTGAGCCGGCAGTGGGGTAACATGACTACATTATTAGAATTCTTAGATGTTTAATATTTTGCACAAACCTGAGCTAAACTAGCAGCTGCGATTGGTTCTTCATCGAAGGTGGCAAACATGTCCGTATGTGGAACTCCAAAATCCTCCATAAACAGTTGTCGTACCTCATCCTTGCCTCGGGTTAGACATCGGTCTTGAAGAGCCTGAATTGCAGTCATTAGCTATTAATCATTTTTTATAAATGACATCTACGAGAAAGTTGAATCCTTATGAGCTTCATTGTCATTAAAATTAAGTTATTGTACTTCCAGCTTTTCTGGTACAGTGCATTGTAAATTTATATAATCAGCAAATGCTGCACTTAATAAGAAAACATACAATCTTCCATTTTCTTGATCAGCGCCAGATTTAGGGTACTTGCAACCTTAGTTTTTTTTTTTTTTTTTTAATTAATTGTTAAGCCCCTGAGCTGTAGATATTATTGGAAGACTAGATTACTTACGTCAATAGCTAATTGAATCGTGAATTTCACGATTCAATGAGCTATTGACGTAAGTAATCTAGTCTTGCAACCTTAGGCCAAATTAACCTGAACGTTCCCAACTCCAGGTGGTACTTTGCCGCAGTTGCAGCAAAACAACAACATCTCCTCAAGAACATCTCCCTCAATCACAGAGACACTATAATCGCCACCTATATTATTAACATTTCCCGCGATGACGGGACATCGTCAATGTCGCCTGCAACCGTAGATAATTATTGTCAGAATCAGAATATAAAAATTCAATTTTTATTGTAAAAAATAAAATTGAATTTCACTGTAGAACCCAAAATACCTAATGCTCGACCAGTTGAAAAACCTTGAAACTATATTGCAGTCTGTTTCACTCCCTCTAAACAAGACTGAAGTTAGTTTCACATTTAAAAATTTCATAGCGTGTTCAAATCAAGTTTTATAAGCAAAGTAGGAACATTTTGTGGCAGTCCATGTCGCTTACCTTGAGTGTGACAATATACGGACGCGGCAACACATGGTCCATGGAGACTAGACCTTGCCCCAACTTGATGTAGAGACCTCCGTTGCTGAGACATCCGGACAGTATGAGGTCTGCCGAGCGCTGGTGTACTTTATCTATTGCCTCCTCGTATTCCTGACTGCCTTCCTCTAGCCCCAGCAGAGACCACCAGTAGTCTAACGTCACCACCAGACCTATCCTGGATGATCTGCAAGAGGCAATGTGAATTAAGAATTAATATAACATTAAGTTCATGAAACTTATAGGGAATATTGATTATTCCTGAGGTAAATCGTTACAGTTTTTGTTATGTATTATTTAGAATGTTTCATTCATCCTTCACTCATATTAATCCTTACATTAGCATTTAGGTGAATCCTTGGTTTAGTTGGTAGAGTGACAGACTACGAGCCCATGGGTTCGTGAGTTCTCATCAACGACAATGTCCACTACTAAATTTTATCAGTTCCAGTTCACTCAAACACTTTGCTGACTCACACATTTTTTGCTAGATGTTCCACTTAACAGCTTGAGGCCTATGTGGTTACACAAATGGAAGATTAAAAGAGAATAGGTCAACCTCTAAAAAAATTACGTCTTCATTATAATTTGTGATACACTGGCATTGAATTTTATTCTTTGTGCTATGTTATTCATTAGTACCAGTATTGCTTTCCAACAACTGAGTGATAAAATAAGACCACTGTACGGGCACTATTAAAAATGCATTTTGAAACCACATTTTTTAACGATGTACACACTGAGATTTACACTATCCTAAAAAAACAGATTTTTTTATGAATACCGTATGAAGATTGACTACCTACCTTACAAACCTAACTACACCACCAGCCGTAACTTTGACGAGCCTTTGCTGTTGGGTATCTAAAGTGTAGTAGTACGCACCACCAGCGGCCAAGGTTGCTGCAGCTGCGTACTTCCATACATGACTTTTATAAACACTCTTCTTCTCATTTTCCACAGACTTGTGGAAATTTCTCAAGCAGAGCTTACAAATATTTCTTCCGAGCTTTAAGCCTGATACCATATTGCTGGAATTACACATAAAATAAGCTATAACACATATATTTTATGTTCAAAAATTTACTTTGGTATTGTTACATGACAATGCTGCATGTCAATTCAAACTACCGGTAACTTAATGGCTACAAACAAAAATAACAATAAACTGATTTAACCTTTACACTATTTTAACAACGTACCTATAAAACTAGATTAGCTAACGTAACTAGGCCCAAAAGCTACCAAAAGAATTTATGTATGAGTTTTAAACGTACCGGAAAGTGAAAATAAGAAACGGACTAGGCCAATAGGAGCACTATTATCTTGACAAAATAGCCAGACCTAATCTCATAGCATATGATATTCTAGGCCTATATAAATCGTTTACCCAATTGTTAAATTATTGTTTAGGCTTAGCTAAATAGTTGGTAGGTCTACATTATGGGACCACTGAGACTTAAGGTACAGAGAAAACATTCAGTATAGACGAATAAATTTAATTTAATTTCATTGCATCATTTAATTTAATTTCAGTACCGGGAGTAGGACTACACTTAATCTTAGATGTTTTGGTCTCGAGGAAAATGAAACGTCATTATTGTCTTCCCCAATTGCGGCAAAATTTTGAATATCTCCTGCGGCCGCAGAGACATTGTCATCGACACTCGCGGGGAAATGTTCTCGTCGATATCCGCGATAGCGGCAAAAGCGTAGGCTTAATCTTTCAATTTCGTGAGCGTGATCCTTGCAGAGAAAAAGCTTTTACTTTTATTGTGGACGTTAGCCTCCGGATTGCCAAATAATATTAAAAAAGGTTCAAATACCTGCTATTAGGCAATCCAAGTAAACGGCAAGCCTACGAAGTATACAAATCCAAAGTGCAGCCTCCTAATAGTAAGAAATTAAATTAAATGAAAATCTTTCATTAGCATCAATGAAAGAATGGGATTATTTATTTAGCTAGTGCACTAGCCACCTAGGTTCAATCGCCGATTTGAACGTACAAAATTATCAAGTTCATTTAGTTTAATCATTATAGAGGGAGAGGGCCCTTTGTGGTGTGACCCGCCGGGGGCTAGGAGGAAAACATTAATGTTTTATCCTCCTAGGCCGGGGGCCATATTGGTTCTAAATACAGCCCTATTATGGCGCCTTCACACAGTCAACAAGGACAGTTGATGCAACTTGCATGACTGAAGACAATTTTTTACTTAGGTTGGTAAAGAATATATCGATCGGTCAATTAATAGTGTCAGTTGAGCTGTTGTAAGCTACTTGCTCTAGTGCCCTTACTGGTTTTAACAAATTTTTGTCATAAAAAACATATGGTAACTTAATTCTCATATAAATATTTTTATGGTAGGTTGGGGCCCGTGTGGCTGAGCCTGTCGCACAATCGCGGGCCCGTGTCCTGGTAAAATTTCCTGACAAATCCCTGTCAGGGCTTACGGGCCCCCTAGCTCGCAGCCACTGTATTTCTTGTACCATAATAGAGCTGAAAGCTCAGGGTTGTCCCATAAGCAAGTTTCATCTGTACCTCACTTCTCTATGGTGGGACCCAAACTAATTTATTATAAAATAAAATAGGCCTAATGCTTTTCGAGTCTTTACTTTACATTTGAAATTAAGGCCTAATAAAGGCGGTTGAGTAAAATGACGTGCTTTCAGGTAAATATGGATCTTAACGACACTGCTAGCAATTTCAAGACATAAGTTAGGTAATTTTTAATTTTTTATTTTATTTTTTAACTTACAAAAACAATGTTGTTTAGAGGGCTATCAGGTAAACTGTAGGAAACATCTCTGACGATTTATAAACTACCTTTAATTATGTATGAGTTCTAACCGGCAGGTTAAGTTATGCCTTTACACAACCTAGGCTAGGTCCTATTGCAAATTTTTTTGTTAGTGGTCAATCATTTAATGAATACAGTAGGCCTACTGTACCTTATAACTTATACTTCAATACCTGTATAACTAGGCCTACATTTTAATTCGAGAATGGATTACATAATGACAAAATATTTTTTAACCTCTTAGTTTTTGACTTAGCAATTATTGTTAGCCTAACTTAATGTAATATAAACCATGCAAATTAGAAGGATTAGAATGTTAGGTTTACTATAATGAACTTACCGAGGATAAAATGAACTTGTATTTTCCGATTTACCAGAACAGTACTGTGAATAATTAGAAACTTGGAGACAGGCTATTCAAGCAAACTTTCTTTTGAACTTCTCCCAAAAATGCTTCACTAATGATAAACATCATACTGAATAAACTTCAAGAAGGCTGGTAATAGAGAAATAACACTGTTGGGTGACAAGATAATTCGCTAACGATTCATTTTAATAATAAAAAAAAGAAATGGCACGAATTTCTAAAATTAATGTAAACATGGCCTTAACCTTAGTTTCAAGTGCGATTCGATTTCACTAAGTTGAAGTTCACTCGATACTCATTTCACTTCAGAGACGAATGACATATTTACACTTTTTTGATGTCGTCTGCTCCCTCTTTCGTTGCCGTACTTTCACTATGGCTCGGCGGTGGAGCCATACACATGAAGCTTCGCCGTACACCACAGTTTATCATTCCATTCCTCGTTCACTTGGTCAGTGCAATTTGGAAGGTGGAATATAGGTGTGATATAAAGATGATTGTATATATATTATGGACAGGACAGGGCCAGGTAAGTTAGGTGTTAGTGTTGTTGGTATATTTAAAAACACAATTTTTATTGTATAGTCTTAAATCATTACAGTACGGTCCACGAGAGTCTGCAGTTATGGGAGGAGCATATTTACCACGTGACTTCGAAGGAGCCAATGAGGTCAGTGCGGTGTTGCTAAATCTAATAATACCAGCTGATTAAAAATACTGTTTAGTATATTTTTATTAGTGTCAAAATAATTAGTGAACGGGCGATGTTGCAACGTCGCGCTAGTCCAGTCTTGCTATTGGCTGCCGCGTCAACTGCAGATTCTCCGTCACCCCTAGTAGTATAGACCTGAATAATGCATCGTTTATACCAGAGACTGGAGAAAAAATGTTAAAAATAAAACAGAACAAGAGGAACTTATTGACACTAAAACAAATGTATCCTGTCCAGTGCAACATAGGTAATGCATTGTAAAACTTTAATCATGTATATGAGTTTACTTGGCACATTCTATATTTTCACAGAGAATGTAACTTAAATGGTCCTTAGGGATATTATTTGACTGATCACAAGGCATATCATTCCATTGAAACTTGTTACTTCCCGGCCAAAAATTGTCCTTCCCATTGGCTTGCACACAATGCTCAAGGTTTAATGGATTTTTTCTCCAGTAATGAAAATCGTTTGGCTCCCCTGGTTTCCAGTTTTCAAATTTTGTGTACTTCAGGTCTGTTTCATCTTCCCATTTAAAAAATCCTTCTTCCTTTATGTCTGAAAGTCCAAGCCAAACGTTTTCATTTGCCAAACCTGAAAATCAATGTTTCCAAATAGAATTAGTTTGTTGATTGAAAAATGGTTTCTCTGAACAAGTGTTAGTAGAACACTACAGATGAAGGTCAACACTACTTTGTATATAAATCTTTACTTAATGGGGAGACATTGGCAAATTTAATTTTGCCAATCTTCAATCTTCTTATTTATACCTCTCATCTCTATTTAATATAGGGAGGTATTCAAAACATTTTTTTTTGCTTAATTTAAAGTGCCATGAAGGATGAAGGAGACAAACTATTTTGAATCGCCACAACCTAATCTGTATAACTTACCATTTGTAATCATTAATCGTTCAATTTGATCCTGTTCATTCTGATTTTTTAAAGTGGCCATTTTCCTCCCTTTACTTTCACAATATTTTTTAGCAGCATTCCAAGTCACCTGAAAAACCAATGTAAACACAATTTCTGTCTTAATACTGTTTCAATATTTTGCATCAATCTTAACATCATGTTACTCCTAGTCACAGAGGAAACTTGCTTGTGGGGCGACCGTGCTCTGTCAGCTCTAGTAGGCTATGTTTTGCCGGAAACATACCGTAGGCCTACTTGTGACGAGCAAGGAAGAGCCAGAGTGGCGAGAATAGTGCACAAGTTGGCAGCAAGTTCCTATCACGTGTACAAAGGTCTTCCTCTTGCATGAGTGTAGTAGTTAGTAGTAAATGATGGCAAGGGGGGTTAGAAAGGCATTAGTGCTAGACACCAGCGGCTAGTCACTTAAGTGCACCATTGAATGTTTCATCTACTTCAGGCTCTGTGTGGTGCAAAACAATATCGGATTACTCAGTCAGAACATACAGTATAGATGATAATTCTATACAATTACTCTCAGTAAATTTATGTTTATACCATAAATCTGATTGCTTCAGTAAAGTCAGTAAATCCCAGTACCTGATTTAAATGCCAATCAAATCAGCTGAAAAAGCTTCTCAGCTGAAGAGACTATACACTAGTCTACGGACTTGCAACTTATATTGTGGTGAGTATAGGAAATCTACTCTGAAGCCAGCTTGTACAGTTCTAATCTACAAATCAATAATTCGGCCCTTGATTACATATGCATCTCCTATCTGGGGATTAGCTATATCAAAAAACAAACTCTTCAAAATTCAAGTGATTCAAAACAAAATTCTAAGAATAGCGGTGAATGCTCCCTGGTTTGTTAGAAACAGGCATATACATGAAGAACTAGGAGTGGAGTCTATCTCGGCCTTTATTGAAAAAAACCACCTCAAAATTTCTAAAATCTTTAAACGATGTTCCTGGTGCATTAACTTTTCATCTTGGTGAAGCAACTGAGAACAGGAGGCTACGTCGAAGGCTCCCTCAAGATCTATTGGATGAATGAAGCCTAAAGACGATTAAATTATTCTCTAAATTAATTATGTTACAGGGTGTACCAGGTTTGGGCGAACCCACGATGTTATTATAGTTAATTTCTTTTTAATTTTGTTAACACTTCTGTGTATAATGTCTACATTGAACCAGAAATAAATGCTGTAAAAAAAAAAATATATTGTGGTGAGTGGTTTGAATAAAGGTTAGACCTACCTTTTTGAGAGGTTGACTGAAGGAAAATGTCTTCACTGTCTGCTTGCAGGAAATTATTCTTGAAACATTCACAACTATAACAAATGTACATACAATAACAAACATCTTTAGAGCAATAAAGGCCTCAGTACTTTGAAATCTTGAATGTTAAAGATAACCTTCATGCATAGCAGAAATATGGTTTATAGCAAAAAATTTTAATTTAATCAATGTGCTAATAGGAAGATAAATTTTTCAATGTAGCATCCGAATCACGTTGAATGAAAAAAAATGTTTGTACTCGTTTCTGCGTAGGTAATTCTTTAATGTTAAAAAGTGACAACCTTCTGAAAAACCCAATTTTTCTCATCCTCCTAAAATAAAAAAATAAAAAAATTGGCTTACTTAGAAGCAGGTATTTCAACTAGTTTTCCAAGAAAGTTCTTGTATGTCATGAGAAGAAACTCTGTATTGTAAGGGGAGGTGTTTTAAACAAAAATATTTTTAGGGTTACCAAAACCAAACATACCTTTATAATGACAGTCCTTTTCATCATCACCTCCAGGGCAATCAAGATATCTATCACATACAGCAGCCTTCATGATAAAGTGGCCAGACGCGCATTGAAACTGGTCTGTTGCTGTTCTACATGGTCCTGGGTGGGAATAATACGAGACATCACTAATCAACCACAGTATGGAAAAGGATAAACAAGAATAAATGTTCACAATCACAGCACAATAAGGGTTTCAACATTTTATAAGTTTCAGTTATCACTGATTACTTTCAACAGAGAAAATTTATTCAATTTATCTTCCTAAGAGGGAAACTAGAAAACTGTCTTTTCAAATTTACGCAGCTAATGAGGGGATTTCCTAACGATTGATACCTAACAACAATCTTTCCCGGGTCAGAACAGTTTTATGTCGTTTGCCCTCTTTTTGTTTGCTCCTCCCATCAGGATCAAAAGTAAGAGATGCGAATCTTTCACAGCAGCAGCTTTGCTTGGTCAAAATACAACCATGCACAATTCACCAAATCGTGTGGCATCTTGAGAGTTACATCAAAATAAACTACATTCTATTCACAAACATTTGTGCCACTGAGAATAGATTTTTGGCGGTTTCCGCTTCTGGGAACACCATTAAATTACCTAAGACAAGAGAAGAAATGACTCCGCTCTATGCACTCTGCTTCCTCGCCTGGAAAACCCAGCTTAAGGCTTTTAAAAAATTATCTCTTGCATCAATTTCATATTTTTTTATAAAAACAAAAACACACCTAGATTGCAGTCACGTTCATCTTCTCCTCCAGGACAGTCAATATAACCATCACACCAAGCTTTCCCCAGGATACAATGACCAGAGGGGCATTGGATCTCATCTTCTCTACATCCTGGAACAGGGGTATAAAACTATACTAAAAACTTTCTATAGTAGGTTACAGTTATATCATTAACATTGATGTTCAACTATAAATCTTAACTATATGGCCAAAAATGGCATTTTCTGGTTCAAATTAAGCATAGTCAAATTAGCTTCTCATTACTCACTTCTGTAGAAGTTCGATCTTCTTTAAAAACTTATTCTGTGATAGTTGGTGCTATAGTATACAATACAATGGTATTTCAGTTTTATTTTGTTCAATTTCTCTAATTTAATCTTCATCCTGAGGTTGACAGTTACAGCTTATATCATTATAATCAATAGTATCAATCATTGAGATGAGGATGCTATCTAGGCGCGTATTTTAACCCAAATATGAATGAAGGATGAGTGTAGATTAGTGTGGGATAATCTGTAGCTTTGTTACTGACTAAGATCAGCTGTTTCATTAGTCAGGATCATTATTAAAGCCCATCAGGGACGGCTGGGTCCAGTTTCGAACCATCAAAAAGCTACTGATTTCTCTCGGGATTGATCTGGCGACCTTTTGATTGCTAGGTGAGCACTGGAAAGGGGTCACCTGCATTTCTATCAATATACATACATGATGTCTTTGTATTTCCAGGGTAGAAAAACAGCCCCTGAACAGTTAAATATAAAAAAAATAATTAAGGTAGAGCTACAACACTTGGTACTGTAATTGTTAACACTGTTATGAAATCTAGCAAAATAGAATGTGAGAGAGTTTAGAATACATAAATACCTCGAACTGAGCAGAAGGAAAGCACAAGTACTTGAAGTACAAGTACTACCTTGAACATTGTTCAAAAAGAGAGGTAAGCTCGAACAACCAACCAATATATTACGTATCACATATACACCATTAAATTTCTTATCAAGATTTGATTTCCCATAAAAGCGTGAGCGAAGCCAAATTGCCAAGCAAATGTTTTAGTTTTCGGAAAACTGGGCAATAACTGTTGGTGTACACGAATTTAAATTAAGCGTG